TTACATTATAGATTCCCACAGTCAATTATCATATAACAAATCTTTAGATACACAAAACCATCATTAGGTCATATCTATTTGTTTCTTTCGCTCCCACGTTGACTGACCATTATAATTTACATGGTTTCTGGAACTTTGCCATATATGACTTGTTTTATCAATGGACATTTATCTTGATCAAAATTACAAAATTAATATAAAACCACTTATCTCAATAAGCACCAAGGGGATAACTAATATTATATCAATATCCTTGTAGTTCTTAATTATTAATTACTCTCTCTAACCGAATTCTGCTCAGCCAGTCGTCCGACGCCCCGCTTGTCTTGGTTTATGGAATCCCACTTCTGGACGAATCCTGGTTACCCAGACCAGCGGCCGTTGGTGGAGGATCAATCAACCGTCTGCTGCTGCCCGGTGTGGCAACAGCAGCAGCACGCCAGGCTGGTGGCCAAGCGGCCAATACGGATCTTGTGCAGGCTGCTACGACGGCATCGTATGGATATACAGTGTAAATATAATCAATATTAATTTATTTTTGTTCAATTAATATATCAATCATTGAACGTATGTTAGTAAAAAAATGTCTTATAAAATGTAAATTACTATTAAATCGAATTGAAGCGATTTATTTCATTTGAATGTCATAGTCGAATACTATCATGAAATGAATTGCATAGAGATTTGTTATTTTTTGAAAATACTTTTGCGATATACGAGGTCTGTTCAAAAAGTTTTCGTAATTTTCGTTTTTCAAAAAAATATTTATTTATTCGTCTACATTAATGTGGTCCCCTTCAAAGTAGTCCTCCCCAGATATAATACACTTATGCCAGCGTTTTTTTCCAATTTTCGAAGCACCCTTGATATTCACTTTTTGATATGTCCTTGAGCACTCTCGGCGATTTTCTTCAATCGAGGAAAACCGCCGTCCTTTCATGGGTCTCTTCAACTTTGGGAATAGGAAAAAGTCACACGGAGCCATATCTGGTGAATTTTGCACTTGCAACACTTTATTTCATTTTTTACGCAAAATTTAATACAAATTCTTTGACTTTTTCAATTCTTCCATTGTAAAAATCGCCGAGCTCAGAAAAACACGTCGAACCTTAGCGACTACCACAGACAAAGTAAACAGTGAATATAGCTGAAAATTTCATCATACTTTAGGGGCATGTATACCAACACAATAAAAAAAAATTTGACAATCAGACACTCCAGACCCGCGAAATTTAATTATTAGTAATTCCGGGTACTTTTTGAACAGACCATGTACATATATAAAATGGCAAAATTAATTTTTGTAGATTAATAACGCTGTAATCAATAGGATCAGGTTTATTACAGTTTATTAATACAATTTCTGGCATTTACGCTTTGTACTTTTTTCCTTTTTATTATATCTGCATAGACAAAATATTTTATATTTGATTTTCTGAGTGAATCTAGTGAAAATTACGATGTAAAAATATGTAAAATATTTAATTAAATATCATATGTAAATGCATTACTTAAATTGTGATTTTACTTATAATTACCAAACATTCAAGTATGAAAATATTTAAAATAATATTTTTTGTTTCATTTTAATTTTATCAATATGCAATCAGAAATAATTCTATTACGATATGGTTTGGTTTAAAAAAAAATTAATTATAGAAATTGAAACACAATGAAAATTATCATTAGACAGTATTCAACTCAATAAATTTTATTTCTAATTCGAATAATTTTTTTAAATTTAGTACGCAGTAGATTTCTTAACGTAATTTAATTTAAAAATGTAATAACAATATATTTCACTGAAAATTTTGAGAATTCTATTATATTTTCAGTACGTCCGATTTCTGTGCACATTTTAAATAAAGAAACAAGATTGTCTGCTGGACGTAACTGGAACATAGAATGCGAAGCCACTGGTTCGAATCCACCAGCAATTATCTCATGGTGGAAATCAGGAAAGGAATTAATTGGTGAACAGGTAAAAGAAAAACTAAATTTTTAACATTTATTTTCTCTACTACATGATATTTGCAATCAACTTTTTCTAAATTTGCTTTCAGAATGAATACGACACATTAGGAATTCTGCACTTCGTTCCAACCATGGAAGACGATGGAAAATATTTAACATGTCGTGCAAATAATCCTGCTGTACCAGATAGTACACTGGAAGATAAATGGCTTCTAAATGTGTTGTAAGTATTTGTAAAATTGATATTTAATATTTCTTCCCCATATTTTCTTTTATTGATCGATATTAATTTTACTCACGATCACGATCATCCTCTGTTCTTAAATAAAATTTTGTGGTAAACAGCAATATTATATATTTTATGGTCTACATTTGATATAAAAATATCTTAAAACAATACATTATTAATTTTGCTTTTTATCTTCGATTTTTTTTGCTTTGGTTGAAAACATAACACTTTATTTTATGTGATTTGAATAATCATTTCCAATACTCTATAATGATGCATTTAAGATTAATCAATTAGACCAGTCGTGACTTCTGGTCAACATATTTTTACTAGTAGTGATTTATAACACATAACATATTTTTATCTGCATTTTATTATTCGATTCTTATCCAATTCCTCTCATTTATTTTAATGTCATCAATATCGGAGATGCTAAAAAATTTAACGTAAGTGATAAATCTAACATCTGCGTATATAAAATAAAATGTTAGTGGAATTCCATGGCCACTAGCAGTAAAAATGTATAAAAGAAAATTTTATGGTATTGGAATTAGTCATTTTACAATATGATAATTTGCATAGAACGGTTGTAAAAGAGCTATCAATATATAACATATAGTTTTAAAACTGTGAATTATTTTTAGAATGAAGTTCTGCTAAAATTTGAAAACAAATCGATATTAGAAGATTTTATATTAATAAAATATATTTATAAGATTTTTCGTACTGGATCTTAGTGTAGAATGTCGGGTTTTCCACATTGATATTATTGGATAATATACTTCAACACTTTTATGTCTATTATATATAGAATATATTATTAATATTACAAAATATAATCTGGAGGATTGTGTGTTCTGAACTTTAGTATGCATTTTTCTATATTACTATGATTGGATAATTATTTACCTGGCTCCTGTGGAAAATAGGATAGTTGCATATTAATGCATCATAAAAATTTAAAAATGATTTAAAAATTTTGTTTGAACTATTATTAACAGCACAGTTTTTGAGACCATTTTTTCGGTTGCTTCTTTTATTTTGCACATTTTGGATACAATTATCACCTTTATCATGGAATATCTTCTCCTCTGTCAATTTGTCCACTAATTCCATCTGGAATTTGACATCGATCCTCCTGTAGACGACTGCCCATTAAGATTTGAGTCAAGGTTTGTCAAAAATATTTTACAATATTAATTATAAATTCGGTGTGAAACAACATGTCGGGTCATCTGCAAAACGAAATACGGACGCGCAACTCTTTTATTGCTAATTTATTCACGGCATTTCACAAAATAAATAGAGAAGGAAATTAAAATATGTAAGCGAATAATTGAGGTAAAATTATGTACATTGTGAAATGGCTTTATTTGATAATGTAAATTAAAAAGTAGGCTTAAGCGTGGGCTAGCGCTATTTTTAATTAACAAAGTGCATTTTATAAATAAACTAGCAAACCCGACGAAATCCGTTTCGCCACCAGATGGTTTCGTGAGAAAGATGAATAATTTTTTTGTTTGTTTTATATTTGAAAAGGAAAAATTTGATCAGGAAGGAAGACCCGACTTATTTTTATATATATAGAAGAAAATCTATTTGCAATTATTTAAAACAATTGTTGATTATTTTTATTACTCGAATTTTTAATTACGGTGCGTGAAGTTCCAGCAATTTGCATTAGGGCACGATGTCATGCACCGCTAATTTTCTTAGCTATAAACCTTGCGGAGCCCGAGACCTTTCCAAAGAATGCAAAATTGTCGAAATCGGTTCGTGCGTTCTGAAGTTATTTTGTCAGGAAGGAAAACCCGACTTATTTTTATATATATAGAAGATTATTACTAATTAAATTTTCTATACGCTCGGCAACGTGCCGATATAATCCATTACAAGAGCCTGTTTTCGCGTTCTGGTTAAAAACGCGAGTTAGGCCAAACTAGTTCTGCGTTAGATCCCAATCTCGACCGACTCGATTTTAAGCAGTATTTTATTAAATTTTTCCTTGGTCTTACTGATCTTAAATATAAATCCAAGTGAAAATTGCCATTTGTCTGCATACAAAACAAGCGTATGTCATACATATAGCGATTATAAGTATGGTTGACCCCTGGGTTGCCCTCTCGAGAAAAATACTAGATTAAAATGTACTACACCAAACATAACTCATTTGGTACTAAACATATTTTTTATGGTTCTTGCTATGACAGATACATTAATAATTCTCCTAATTAAAAATTTGATCAAGATCGATCCAAGTGATAATATTCCAATAGAAAACAACTTACTGCTTTTACGAATGCCGATATTAGTATAAAAACACATTACGTGATATGTTAACTAATTAATTAAACATACTCTACGCATTTAATCTTCACGATAAACTTGTAATAAATGTTCAGTCTATGTATTAATGACATAATTAACTATTTATTTCATATTTCATTCTAGGTAGATTGTATCAAATGAATTTAACCTATTTAGTAGTAAAACTAGAAGTGATTAATACTAATATTTTTTTTATTATTTTAACGTTATTAAAAATATGAATATCAATTTATAATTATCCACTAAATTAGATACTAACATTTGCAATTTTGTACAAAATATTTAAAAAATCTATAAACGTAATAATGTCCCTATGTATTATATTATATGTTGGACGTGAAATTTTACAAAGTCATAAAATTGGAGAATTCTGAACTTATTATTAGAATAAATTTAAAATAATATTTAAAACGCGGTTATGTAGATTTTTATGTCCTACATGACTATTATACCCTGCATTTTTTATAATTGATTCAATTCTTGAATATATTGAAATAAATAAATTTGATTCTGATCTGATAAAATGATAGTATTTTCGCAAAGACTCAATCAAGAATTCGTATTACGAGAGTTGCAATTAATTTGTATAAAAACGATTCAATATGTAAATTTATAGCATACGTGTTTTGACCAAAGAAATATGTTCTATCATGTTGTTGTTAATCAGGTTAATTGGAGATTAAATTTGTTAACACCAATAACGAAAAAGTAGTTAATATTTTCTTGCTAAATTTGCAAAAGCTGTAAATGATTAAATATTTATCTCTGCATATTATGCACCAATCATAAAAGTTTTACTCACTTATCGTGTAGTAAATTTTTAAGATTGTAGATAAAACAACCATTAAAAATAATATGATATACATTTTTTGCAAAATTTTATAAAATAATTTGCAGTAAACTTATTTAGATGCTACGTAAACTATTTATTTATCGTTTTTTTAATTTATTTAGATGTGTGCGATACTATCAGTAACCACTATATCTTTTAAAAAATAATTGCGTATATGAAGTCGACTTTTATCATTCTGGATAATCATTTTTCATCCAATATATTACCATATATGAAGCTATTATCTAAATATCTAAGCAAATTTGAACATAATTATACCGTTTATCACAATATCATTTATAAATATAGAATAAATTTGAATAATATATGCAAAATTTTATATGACATACAAATGTCTTTTGTAATCTATGGATTCATCTAAAAATAATTTATTAACAAATTATTCAGATTATACGTACAACGAGACTAAAAAACTTTTGAGTCACTATTTAATATTTGAACTTATAACATTTTCAACATTTTAAGCATTTAATTGTACTTATTGTTTATTTTGTGCTTATGTTAATTAGTTATTTTTTCACATATAGGTATACCACATTTGTAAATATTATGATGCGTTTTGTTTATTGTATGAAACTACTGTTTGTTTATTTCTGAACCATAATTAATAAAGTTCACATCTTCCGGCAATTGTTTGTTAATGAAATACCTCTCAATATATACTAAACAATAAAGCAACCTTAACATTCGTAAATAAAAAAAATAACCATCAGTAATGTAAGTTAAGTTTAGTTAAACATTGTAAGCATATAAAATTGATTGAAACATTTATATAATAATATTTTATATATTATAATAATAATATTTTATAATCTAAGAATAAAAAAACTTGGATTTTATATTACCTTAGATGCTCCGGTGGTTACATTAAAAATTTTGGGAGCGCCTATCTCTGGAGAATATGCAGAAGGACAAGAAGCAGTTCTACAATGTGGTGTCAAAGCTAATCCCAGCGTTTGGAAAATAACTTGGCTTCACAATGTAAGAAAATAAGTTCCATTTAACTTAAAACTCATTGATATACTAATTATCTATTTCATATAGAGTAAAGAAATCCAATCCAATGACAAAAGTATAGTTATGGAAGGTAATGACCTGATATTGAGCAATATTAGTAGTGCATCGTCGGGGCAATACAGATGCACTGCTCACAATTCTGAGGGACAAACACAAAGCAAGTCAGTTGCTATAATTGTGCGATGTAAGCATTAAACTAGCTGTAAGTGGAATTCTGTCTTAAGGCAATTAAGGCATCGTGCCTTAAGGCAAATTGCTGGAACTTCCCGTACCAAATTTTTTTTTTTAAAAACGATTAAGATTTTTGAAAAAAATTTACTTTGAAAAAATAAGATTTTTGAGAAACTATATATTGGACAAAAAATTACTTTTTTTTGAAAAAAAAAAATTTTTTTATTTTTTTTTTTTTAAAAAAAAATGTTTTATTTTATTTTGACATATTTTGGAAGATCTAAACTTTTTTTCAGAGCAATCGTACTGCTTTAACTGCATAAAGACGAAATATCAAAGCCCGTAAGCGCCGCGTCGCCGTCTAACGCGTAAACATTGGTACAGAACCCATAGAAATGTAAAAAAAATTTATACTTATTGTTAAAATCTCTATAAAATATTTGATAATTTGATGTGCATATGTCTAATGATCATTTTTGACCGCCAAATGGCATTTTTTTTTACTTTTTTCATCAGATCTCCGAAACCGTTAGACCTGCCTTCATGAAAATTTGATCAATTCTTTATCTTGTCAATACAAGTAAAATGTTTTTTGAAATATTCAAATCGGACGCTCCGTTCTCTTAAAAACTGAGTTACCGTTTTCGGCACTTTTTGCCCCGTATCTTTGGAACGGCTAGACCTGCTTTCGCCAAAAACTAATCAGCACGTCTCCTTATTAATACGAATCGAATGTTTTTTGAATTATTCAAATCGGTTGATCCGTGTTCCCGAAATCGTCGACGAAAATTTGTATCCGCACATACATACACACACGCACATACATACATACATACATACATACATACATACATACATACATACACACACACACACACACACACACACACATACATCCATTTTTTCTAAGGTATGCCAAAATGTTCAGAAACCTCTGAAACGTAAAGATATATAAACATTTTCATTTTCGATTTTTTTGCGATTACTATAACTTGCCCTACGGGAAGTTAATAACATTTTTACTGTTTATAATAATAATTATATTCTAATTAATAATCGTTTAAACTACTTGAAATTTTATTATATTTTTGTTTGCTTTTAGATTCTCCTATTTGCAAATCCACCTCTGTCCATAAAATAGCAGCGCCTGAAAATATTCCCGTTTCTTTAAAATGTTCCGTCGAAGCCCATCCAAAGTCGAATATTACTTTTCGTTGGACTTTTGCAGATATGGGTGAAGTTCCTGGCCGATTTATAAATTCTTCTGGTAAACACTGAATAACGCCTTATTATATAAACCATATTAAATACAGAAATCTATTGCGTAACATGCATATATCTTGTTTCTTGTTACATAGATAAATTCTGAACATATTACTATTCGACTCTACTATCAGTATTTTAACTGATGTTCTATTAAATAAATTTAGGATCTACTAGTATATTGACATATAAACCCGTCGCAGATTTAGGATACGGACAATTTGCTTGCAAGGCTCATAATGAGGCAGGAGAAACAAAAAGGCCTTGTGTGTATCAAGTTATACCTCCAGGTTAGGAATATTACTAACTAATTATATTCATTCATTAACAACTAATTCATATGAGATGTGATATAATAAATAAACTTTTTATATGCTAAAGGGTATGGGCGCTTTGCCATACAGAATCGGCCACTTTCACATATTTTCAATGATATTTCGGCCATAAGGTGAGATACAAAGTTGAAAATTGGTATATCGGCTTTATTCAAAAAGACCTTTAAAATGGCGTATTTATTATTTTAATACCAGGATGGGGCCAATTCTCTATGGCAATGCGCCCATACCCTTTATAGTATTCATCAAATACTTCTGAACAGAGAAATAATCCACTTAATACATTATTTAGATTAAAAATATGGCATAGTTTGTGAACCAAACCTATTACTATATAGATTATAAAGAAGAGGCATTTATATATATTTGATATTGATTATTTATTCTTGAGCAATATTTTAATGATTCATTTCTAAGAGTAACAAAATAATTTAGTAACAATGTAGGAATTTTAATATAATTTAAATTGAATATTTTATTATAATCTAAGGTCCACCTGGTCCGCCCTTAAACTGTACACTTGAAGCCGATGGCGAAGTTGTACAATGCAAAGCTGGTTTCGATGGCGGTTTAGAGCAGCGATTTCTAGCTCAGGTTGTTCTGGCCTTAGATTCATTTACGACTTTAGTGAATTCTTCTGCTAATCTAGAACCTGTATTTCGAATACCAGGACTTATGACTAACTCATTTGCTGCTGACAATGAAGCCATGGAGGTAAAAAATTTATCGTCAATTCCACAATTTGAATTTTAATATTTAAATTAGGTTTTTTCTTGTATTAATGAAATTGTCTAATTTATTGTGTACTATGTAAATTTTAGGTACAAGTAATTGTTTTAGCAGAAAACGATCTTGGAAGAAGTAGCCCTGTTACTCTAAAAAATTTAATATACAGTGAAAAGCCCATTAGAAAAGGTAATAAGTAAATCAATTTTCATGTCATTCATGCTATTAGATATTTATTTTACACATTTACTGCCACCATTTCGAAGTTATTGTTCACTTTTTCACAATACCATTAAAATAAAATATTATTTCTTATGATTTTATTTTATATTAATATATATTTTAATGATTTTTAAGTTTTATATTCAAGTCCTTTATGTTTTAGGTGGATTTGCAAGCTTTACATCAATTCCAATAGATCCTTTATTATTCGCATTATTAATTACTGGATCTGTAGTAATAATTTTGTGCTGCGGAATTTGCTATTTGCTTCGACGTCGTTGCTGTCGTGTTTCGCCTGATAAACCGACTGCTAATGGAAAAAGACAAAAATCAAGAATACAGGTAATAACCAATATCATTCAAAACTTCAAGACTCCGGATACCATTAATAAGTACTTATATCTTGCATGCAAAGATTATGAAGCTAATTAATATTAATTTGCTAATTAAATATTTCATCAATATTTAGGATAATTCTGATTCATCCGTCTATGATGAAGGCATAGATGACCCTGATCCTGATCTTATACCAAATAAAGAAGGTTAATATCAAATTTTTTTTTATTATAAAATGTAAACTTATCTTTGTATTTATTGATTTTTTTCTGTCTAGATTACAACAATTCAGTATTATTATCTAACTCATCGAGTCATATTTCGATTGTAAAAAAAGCTCCCATCAGATATAGCTGTGGAAATTTATCTAATTATGGAAAAATTCGATGCATGACAGACAATCAGGTAAACCGATAGAAACTTCTGTATATAACTATTAGAAAGATTTAAAAATTATTCATAATTTTTCATAAATTTACTTCGCGTCGATAAGCTGCGAAATTAATACTAACACCAACACAATTTAAGTTAAAACTTTAATAGGATATCTTAAATCATACCAAATAATAAAATTATGAAACAATCAAATCGATTCTGATTTTTAGACTGGGAGCCTAGGGCGAGTCATTAAAGAAGCGATTCCATATTTCCCAGAAAATCAACGTGTTAGTACGTTACCTAGAAGGCAAATCGTTACATCCTCCCCTGCCATAAGGGAAAGTTGTATATAATTTATTGAAATAATTGTAGTTTTAAATCTTGATCTTAGTATTTTTATATTGTTTATCGTAATTCTTATAGAATAAATACTCTTTAACCAGATATTATCAGGATGATAATTTATAAACAGCATTCATATTCTATCCATTTGTTTTTATATGACAGTGCACAGATAATAATAGTATAAAAAAGAACGAAAGAAAGTATAAAAGGAACAATTATAATTTATCAATAAATAATTGTATTCTGGTCACCTAGGTAAGTACAATATCAACACTTTTATAATACTTTTATTAACAATAATATTAATAAATTATCTGTGCTTTTCCCACATCTGCCAATATTCACTTGACTGCATTTGTGAGAGGCGAGAAATGGTTCTATCAAATGCAAAGACTTCTTCATCACCTGTAAATATACTGGCCCCAGCATTTTCCTGCAAAAATCTCAAGTTAGTTTATCAAAAAAAATATGGTAAAAAAAAAAGATTTACAGATTCTTTGGAAATTCCAAGATCATCCATTAAATGACGATGTTCATCGGATGTTTGCTCAGGTGATGCTTTTTTACTAAATAACTCATTATGTGGCACGTCTGCTGATATCACTACCTATTAAAGGTATTTAATAAAATTCATTTAAGACTGAAATAAATTATTTATGTTAAGATCTACATATAACTCACTCGAACTCTATTATCATATAGTGTGTCAATAAGATTTATAAATCTCCGAGCTTGAGATTTTAATTCTAAATTGAGTTGGGGTACATCACGTATTATGATGGTGTGAAATGTTTGGGATAATCTTAAGTAGTCACTTGCACCCAGGGGCTGTTGCATAAAAATTCTGTTAGGCTATAGGCATTTCAAATCAAGTTTATTATATTTGTCACATACTCTGTCACATAGTTCTTGAAAGTTACTATCCAACACGTGACCACATGTTCTATTGAAAGTTACATTTCTGCCTTGATGATTGATTATCCTTGGTCTTATTATATCATTCTCCATTGAACAAAGCAATTTAAAAATTTTGTCAATAGGATCAGATTCTTCCATGTTTCCTTTTCTAAAATGAATAAATTCATTGTAAATTTATCATTGAAAAAACTATATAAATTGATACTACCGCTTACATAAAATAACATTCAGATTTACCCCCTAAACCTTTTGTTCTGTAATCCACTCCAGAATCCAATGATATAACATTACAGTAATTTTTCAAAATGGGTATAAATGGCAAGAAATTTCCTCTTTGTAAGCCATTCTTATATAAATCATCTGGTGGCCGATTACTGGTTGCAACCATCACAATGCCATTTTGGAAAAGTTTTGTGAACAAAGTCTTCAGAATCATAGCATCTGCTATATCTGTAACCTGTAAATGTTATAATATCATAAAATCAACATTATAAATAACTAATAATAGTAGACTTACTTGAAATTCATCAAAACAAATCAGCCAGGACTGATCACTAATTGTTTTAGCAACTGGAGCTATTGCATCGAAAGGTTGTGGTTTTCTGCTACTTGAATCCCTTGATATTTGTGATTTCAATTCGTGTATATGTTTATGCACATCTAACATAAATGAATGAAAGTGTACCCTACGTTTCTTCTCTGTCTGTAAACAAATTCATCTTTTAGAAAAATAAATATCTATAGAAAATATTGTGATATTCATGATTGGTTATAGGACTGCAAAAATATAAATGGTCATTATTAAAGCTTGGGATGCTTATCAATTTTTATAAATTATTTTGATAAATTCATACATAATTTGTGAAATTAAGGGTTATCGAGAAGAAAGATATGTATGTGTTTCACTGTTATGAACAAACTTACCTTACAACATTCAAAAAATATGTCCATCAGCAATGTTTTCCCACCGCCTACTGCACCGTGAATATATAAACCCTTTGGAGATTGCAATGTTTTCTTTTGAAATAATCTTGAAAATACATTGGCCTTTGGTTCATGATACGTTTCGATTTCGTGGTGCAAGCTTTGTAAAGCTTGAGCCACTTTAAATTGATATTCATCATGAGCTAATTCATTACTATCGACTTTTCCTTGAAGAACATCTAGAGGGGTTCTATTTGTGACATTATTTGAAAAATCAATTTTTGAATCAATCGCTGTGCTAAGATACCTAGATAGTTGTTTACTAGTAATTTGTGCGGGTGTTGTGAACCTGATTATGAAATCTTTAACAATATGTTGTGCTATCGTAGACATTATAAATATTAGTTATATAACTATATAAAATGAATTATTTGGTGTGCACACGCCTGTTAATGGATAATATGTTATAAATCATTTTAATGAATAAATTATTTGTTATCACATGTTTGATTTAATATTAACTAATTACGTAAATTATTCACGTAACGTCAACTGCCAAACATCTGTCAAGAACTGAAAGTCTCAGACTTTTTGACAGTTGCATGTTACGTCTCCGCGCATGTGTAGACAAGTTTTATTTTGACGTTTGTGGTTTTTGGAGGTTAGGTTTTACAAATAAAACTAAAAACTTTTAATCGCACAGCAAGGCCATAAATTTTTGACAATTTGCGACCACCAACAGATTTAATAATATACCTGTAACATACCATTCTAATTTATCCCAGAATTGGCCCCTTAATTCCTTTAATCCCTATGTTCAATCAATTATACTGGTCGATGTAATTTTTAATTACTGAAGGAATAGAGCTTACTGCATTATGTATTTATTGTTATTGTTAGCATATTTATCGTGTCAAACGCAGTGATTCACCCATATAGTTTGACTTAAATCGAAATTTTAAGCCGGATGTATTTTCCTTTACCGGTTTTTTTGACAGCATTCGTGTCCGTTATTTTGAATCCGCCGCATATAAAAGGGGGCGCTGATATCAACGCTGCTCATTAGTGAATCCATAGATAAAAGATGAGTGAATCAGATTCCGAACAGTTAACAGTGAAGTGAATAGTGAATTAGCAGTGAAGTGAAGTAAAGTGAAACGAACAGTGAAGTGTACTCTTCTTTTATCTATGAGTGAAATGTACAAAGTGAATAGTGAATATTATTTTAAAAATGATTCAGTAGCTATACAACGTGTTTTAGTATGCAGCGTTTATGCAATAAAGGTAAGAGCTTTTTTATATAATTTTGTACAATTGTTTTTACTTACATCTACATCTTTAAAGATGCCTTATGTCTTGTTGATTTACGATAAATATACTAATTTTTATTTAATATTTTTGTACTTTTTAATATATAATATTTTAATATTAAGGGGGTATTCTACTACAGAGGCATGAATTTCGCCCGGTTTTTGAAGCGCTGTTTAAAGGAAACAAATAATATTTTTACTATCGATTTTTTTATCATTTGTTTATTGATATTTTTTTATCACATAAAAAATTATTAAAAAAAATAATTAAAATTCACAAAGTTATGAGCAGTCAAAGTGGGGGCTCAAAAAAAATGAGGTTGTCCTGGCGTGCATGATTCCAATACACTCATCTTAAATATTTATTTCAGGTTATACTATCATCTACAATCTATTTTATACTACAGCCTGAATGCTCTATCTCGGATTACTTAATGCTAGCCATGGAATTTATAAAAAGGACTTACTGACGAGTAAACTGAATTTTGACATAAAAGATAGTAAAATCTTTCTCTCGTAATGTGGAAACTTAGTTTGTTCGCCAGTAGAGCCCTTATATTTTTTTTGCAATTAAATATTATGTATATAACGTTTTTATTACAATCATTGAGAAAATCATTTTCAACTCAACGAGTCCTTTGAAATGATACAGTCTATAATTTTTGAAGTAAAACTTCTTTAGACAAATTTGTAAAAAGTGTATATTTTGCGGATAAATCATATAATTAATTTTTTGTATTTACTTCAAAAGTTTTGCGCTCTACATTTAACAAAAAAATCAGTGAGTTCTTTATATTTATATTTTTTGCGATATATATGGTTGAGTATATAACGTTTTTGTTACAAATATATATTTTTACACTTGAGTTGTCTGGCACTAATTAAGGTAGGTGTCATGAGAAGGATCTATAGTGCAGGAATATTAGTTGTTAATGATTTAAAGTTTTAGTTAAGTAATTTCAAATTGAAACTTAATGCTTAAAACCTTTTAACGTTTACGTGATTAACACAATATCTTCAAACAATTTCAGTTTTTATATCAGTGATCGAAAATTGTTGTTGCTTGATCTCTAATACTGCAATTCCTTCTTTGCACAAGTTGCTATGGTGATTTGGAAATGAAAATGAAATAATCCATTGAGTAAGTACAATTTTCAAAAAATATTTATTTTTAATCAGAAAAATTTTATATTATAAAAATATAATCAATAATAGCTTTAACTGTAAACATTCAATATTACTTAATCGTACAATAGCGGCGTCAGTCCAAAGTTTTTAATTACTTAGAACTTGTAGTTTAACTATAGTCTGGCCTATGTGATTTAACGTTTTCCTG